CTCTGCCTCTAGATAGGCAGAGCCAGCTGTTACTCACGCAGCTGGGCGGATCCCGTCATCTACGTCGGGATCCGCTCCGGCTGCCGTGTCTCAGTATACCGCGAGCTGTAGCTCGTGGTATGCTGAGCTTAGGGTGACGGGAGGATGCTAGTTTGTGTCCTCCCGTTACCCTAAGGAGAACTATGGGGAAAAACACTGACCCCATAGTTCTCCTTTAATATAAGATGATTTTATATCGGCATGCAGAGCTGAATGCTGATTTTTAGTGAAAGGGGTAAAGGTCCACTTTAAGCACCTATAAACCATGTAAAAATATAAGCAAATATACACACACACACACAATGTGAATGAGAACATGCAACAAGCGTAAAATAAATGTTATGATACATTTTTTTTTTTAAAGATAATTTGTATTGATTTTTGCAAGTGTCTGAGACACAACAATGATGACAACAACACCATCAACAAACAACAATTGGGTCAACATAACCCAGGCATTTACAGTTATGATACATTTTAAATCTACAGAACTACTGGGTATTTCACCAAGATGTTTGGAACAACCTACTTGCCAAGTTCCTTACACAGTGTGCAAGTATACCTGGGAGAATTCGGTTTTATTTAAAGGCAAAGGGTAGACATGCCTAATAATAAATGTAGTTTTTTTTTCTGTTTATGCACTTTGTAGGTTAATAATTGATAAAGAAAAACTATTTATTGCATTCTTTGAAAGCATTCTTAATTTACAGCATTTTTTCACAAGTGCCTAAAATGTTTGCACAGTACTGTACATATTCCTTTCATATCCAGCAGAGGTTCTAACCCTCACTACCCAACACATTACTTCAAGAGCAGCATGAGCATTTTCCTCTGTCCAGTCAGATTACCAAGGACCAGATGGAGGGAGTATGAAAGTGTTAGTATTAGGAACTAGTAAGAATTCCAGCTTTAGTTTGTCAGTGCAGGTGAAGAAATTGCTGCTACATAAGTATGATGTAGTGTTATCTGTAGATCTCTTTCAAGCGGACGTTTTTTGGGTCTCCTGTCTCTTTATAATATGTAAAACTATCTTCCTGTATTTGTTGGTGTTATAGACGTGGGTGGTCTCTAATTTGCAAATTTAAAGCCTAGGGAATAGAAAAACTAACTTACTTTTTTTTTTAGGTGGTTCTGTTAAGTGATTTCCATACTTGGGCAAACTGCATTATCATTTTATTAACCTTGTTCTGTCAGAAAAACATTTAGGCTGCTGCAGTTTATGGCCTCATTTGCTCTTCGCAGATTCAATTCTAGTTTATAAGGTTTGCTCCTAACACCTCCATCTGTTGTCTTGCTTTCAGTGAAATCAAGTGGTAATTTGCTGTGTTAGCTTGGTAGCTTCCTTCCTTGGCAAAGTCATCGCCTTAAAAGTGTAGCATCATTAAACTGCTTTGTGTTGTGTTCTGCAGACTGAATACATGAATGTAGTGGCTGTGAATGCACAGTAGGTGGTGTTGCATGAGATTTGTAGTAATACAATAGGTGAGTCAGTAATAATTGTCCCCCAAGGATTAGATTTAATTTCCACAAACCTTAAAATAGAATCCCTACCAATAGTGCAGCCATATTGTGACTTTAGATAGTCACCAAGTTTGTAATTAATCCTGGCCTGCAAAACTTGATTATAATGGGATATTTTCTTTTATGCAGGGTACACATGTAGTTGAGCAATCCTTATTGTGTGGTTCCACTAACAAGGTGTCAAAAATTTTGATCATTTAATCTTTTGGCAAATGCAATGGGCGATCTTGTCTACTTTTTTGAAATGCTGACATCATTGTCGGTCTGTCTTTCCTTTAGGCGCTGCTGAACACCCAGAGCAAGCTAAGAACACTAGTACCAAATTTCACTTTTAACTTGGGCTTTTCAGGAAAGTTCTACCACACAGGTAATTTTTAGAAAATCTTTTCATTTTTTTGTCTTTTTGTTGTTGAGAACATGCATGCTTGTCTTTAATTTTGTTAGAAATAAACTTTTGAGAACCACCCACTCTTTTTAAGTGGGAGAGAAGCCTGTCAGATCCCCTAGTATTGGCAGCCTGGATGTCATGGTAAAAGATGGTTGGCTGCATAGTAAGGAGAGTATAGTTTGAGTTGAGTTGCTGCTGGAAGATTTAAGTTAGTTTGAATAACCCATGGCAGCCAATAGGTCACACAACATTACTTTTTACATTTAAAAGATAACTGGGGTAACCTTTTAATCCTATAGTTCTCTATAGGGTCACGGGAGGACCTATACTAACGTCCTTCCATGACCCAAAGCTCAGTATATAGCTCGCTATTGCCCGCGATATACTGAGAGCACCGCAGCCGGGATGGATCCCTCGCGACAATACTGTCGTGATCCACCCAGCTGACTGATGGACAGCGGGCTCTGCCTATCTAGAGGCAGAGCCAGCTGTGCCCGCCACCTCTCCTGTCCGTTCCTCCAGTCAGCGCTGGAGGATCGGAGAGGGGGAAATCCCTGCGGGGAGCGGTGACTGACCGGTCTCTGCAGGGAGATGATCGGGAAGTTAGTGAGCGATGGTATGTCTTCGCTCACTTCCTGATCAATAGAGCCGACGTGTGACAGTTTCAATGTCACAGGTCGGGCTCTAACTATGAGGATGAGTGGAAATCACTCACCTCATAGTTCTCCTTTTTAATGTTTTATTTTCACATTGTGTATTTTTATACATACACATTTGATGTTCCGAGCTCCATTGTTGAGGATCTTTTGGGGCCACCTTCCAGCACAGTGTATTTGGGCTGTTATGAATTTATATGCCAAAACGATTGGTTAATCCCAAAATGTAGTTTTATTTTAATCATTGCTTTTCCTTTTATTCTGGCTCTTCAAAAAAAGCAAATAAGATAATTAAGATAAGTGTTCTAGTGCAGAATAACACTTTGGTAGTTAAATAGAACCTTTTTTGTAGATATCTGTACATTAGACCAAAAAGAGGGACAACTGAGGAGGAAAAAGAGACAGATGGATTTGGTTCCAAATGGGGACAGTTTGAAGGCATGGTAATGTACATGGCATAGCACCCATTGGACCTATGAAAGGCTGTAGTCTATGTGGCTGGCCCTCTATGGCACTTTATGTAGTCAAGGAAAACATTTTATACTCCATGTACCGTATTTTTCGCTCCATAAGACGCACTTTTTTCCCCCCATAAGGAGGGGGAAAAAGTGCCTGCGTCTTATGGAGCGAATCCCGACGCCCGAGACATGCTGTTTCGGGCGCCGGGCGAGTAGTAGGAGCCACTGCTCTTTTAATGCGAGTGATCTAACGAGATCACTCGTATTAAAGCCGAGCAGCGGCGATCGAGTACAGCAGCAGGAGCCACTGCTCGTTTAATACGAGTGATCTAATAAGATCACTCGTATTAAAACCGAGCAGCGGCGACGATCGAGATAACCATAGAGCAGACGAAGAATAGTCGTTCTTCGCCTGCTCTGTGTCATCACTGAGACCGTGGCGCTGTAATCACAGCACCACCTGTCTCAGCGGTCACTAACTGCAGCTTCTGTCACAGCTTCTGTCATAGAAGCTGTCACAGAAGCTACAGTCTCGAGTGCCCCATAAGGCGCGCCGGACCTCCCTGCGTCCTATGGTCCGGTGCGTCTTATGGACCGCAAAATACGGTACTTTGTGTTTATTCTGCTTGATACAGCCATCTAAGAAGTCCACATACATTTCAAATTTGTTTTAAGACCGTCAATGCTTAGATAAACTGATGATTACTTACCAAAAACAAAGCAGTGTAACAATTTGAAGGCTAATATTGCGACATTAGGTGACAGTCTTTTGGCTGTTGATAGGTGTTTTGTTTTATAAAATGTAAAGAAACAAAGGAGCAAAAAGTTGGAGGAAATTTGAATGTGCTGGTGGATTTTCATAGGAATAAAGTAGAGATTAATGTGTATAATTTTTTTTCTTTTATTTTTTAAGGCACAGATGAGGAAGATGAGGGGGACGACATGCTGCTCATGCACAGGAAGGAATTCTGGTGGTTCCCACATATGTGGAGTCACATGCAGCCTCATTTATTCCACAATGTCACTGTTCTTGCAGAGCAGATGAAACTCAACATGCAATTTGCTCTGGTAATGTCATTTGTATAACTGCAGTATAGATCTATTCCTAGGTTTCCATGCGATTTAAAGATGTATAACGATTTCTGGGGAAATTGGCCTATATTGATATGTAGCGTTATCTTCTAACTGAAGACCACGGGAAACGGCCATACCGTGATGGTCACAAATTGCACTGTAAGGCCATAAACTACCTGATTTGTTGCCATTGTTAGGTTTAGGTGTTCCATTCTATTGAGATTGTAGAAGAGATTAAGGCAATATAAAAAGTATTCTAATCAAGTTCTGAGCTAGGAAACACAAAGGTTTCCTCAATTGTGACTATTATAATAAAAAAGCTATTTTTAATGTTTTTAGGATTAGAATCTTCATTTTCAGAAGTTTGAGAAGAATACACTCGTGCTTGGTTACTATTATTGTATGACAGATTTTGAACTTAAGGTTTAGCAACCCATAGCAAACAGTCAGTAATCATATTTCATTAATTTGGGTTCACTAAAGGTGCTATAAAGTAGAATCTTATGGGCTATACTGATCTTTGAATGTTGTTCTTTTCATGGCCAGGGATGTTGTGCCTTTGTGAAATAAAGTGATTTTAGTTAAAACGTGGCCTGGTATAGCACTGTACCTGGATCTGCCAGGTGACTAAGGATCACAAAATAATATGCTTTTTAGGGCCAGTGACAGCCAGTGGATTTTCCAGTAGGATATTGAGCATGCACTGTAGTAATAAGGCGGGGGCGCCCACAAATTTTCGTCTGGCGATCAACTTTTCAAATGACGAGCTCAATTAGATCTACCAACGCAAAAACACCTGCATTCAGGGGCTGGAGGGATCTCATTGAGCTCGTCATTTGAAAAGTAGATCTCCAGACGAAAATTTGTGGGAGCCCCTGCCTTATTACTACAGTGCATGCTCAATACCCTACTGGAAAATCCACTGGCTGTCACTGACACACAAAGGCTTCCGATTCATTCAGAGAATATTTTACTATTATCCAGTTTCTGAATGGGGAGGAGCCTCTGTACAGAGTGCTTCTCTTCATTGAGAAACCCATGAATTAGCAGGAAGTGATGTAAATCACATCCTGTTCATTCATAACTGGGGACACATAGTCCCCAGTTATTTACAAACACTGGAGTGATCAGCTGATCGCTCCAGTGTTTGTCCTGCACAGAGGATCGGAACATATCACTAATATGTACCGATCCTCTGCAGCTCCCCCACACACGGGGGCTCAGCTTCTCCTCTGGATCCCCCCTGCTGTCCTGGGCAGAGGCGGATCCGACAAGAAGTGAAAGAAGCACTTCAGCCGTGGGGAGGAGGGGGGTAGGACGGAGTCGCTGTCGCAGAACTAAGGTCGAGCGGTGGAGGGAGAGAGAGGCGCCGGCTGTCAGATCCAGGCCGAGCTTCTCTCTCTCTGCCCCCGCCCCTCTCCCCCGCCGCCGACTGCAGCGGTTCCTTCACTTCTCCTCGGATACCTGATGCATACAGATGGGGAGAGCAGCGGGGATCCAGAGGAGAAGCCCCACGGGCGAGAGGAGAGGACATCGCGATCTACCAGTAGATGGGCACCCCTATTATAAGGTAACCAAGAGGTTTACACTGTTTATTGCAGTATTGGACTGGGGCAGGAAGGTGGTGGAATCTGTCAGTTTATAACAAAGATAGCACTAAAGTGTGGTATAAATCTGCTTTACATCACTCGTGACTTGTGGTCATAGAGGAAACCTCTCATGAAACAAACTTGGAGGCTGCCATTGCTTGACCTCTCCTTCTGGAAATTATAGTTGCTGCCCTACTGATCCCCTGGATTAATTACTTTGAGTCTCTGAGAACAAGTAAACGGCAACACAAAACAGTTGAAGTAAGGACTAATCGGCATTTGCTCCAGGTCAGTGTCCCCAAAGGCATATCCCATATTGCTCTCATGACCAGTTTCCTTCAGTTACTGTAGAGTCAATGCTATATGCAAGCAATCCTTTTACACCATACACAGTATCAAATTCTAGTTTCCTCATGAGGGTGATTTTATCTTGCAAAGCAATCTGATTTAAATCTGGGTTATGTGTCATCCATCGAGCAGTTAAATTAAAGTGTATTCATTAGTTTCCTTGTGTGGATTGCTATGAGAAACACTGCATTCCTTCATCCAGAAATTCTTCCCAAGGTATTTCAAACAAGAGATAAGTAACTTTTATGTGGCAGATGAAAAAATAATTTTAAACCGATATATGTATGTACGTGAAGATGTAAAATGTATTGTGATATATATATATATATGTGTGTGTATATATATGTGTATGTGTATGTATATATATATATATATATATATATTTCCCGCTATCGGCTAAAGGGCTCTGGTTTTGACTCAAGTAAAATCTCTTTCAGAGCTCTTTTTCTGATGGCATCATATGCTTTGCAGACAGTAAAAGAAGATTTCCATGACTGAACTGACAATTTTGTTGCTTAGTGAGCGTGCTTACCTAGTCAGCTATCACAAATGAAATATGACACAGTGCTTAATAAAAAAAAAATGGGATGGGAGAAAAGCATGCTCTCTGCAAAAGTGAAGAACCTGCCTGTAGAGACCAGTCAGACTCCTTGTTTAATTTCCTTAGAACAAAATTAAGATGAAACCTAATTGGCTACCAATGCCAGGTTCTCCACTTTTTCCTGAACTTTCTTCCTTCGCTGCCACTATGCATATTCATCACAGTATTTATACTGAGAGAATCAACAAAATAATGTCGCACTAAATTCATCATAATGAATGTAGGCTGGTCAGAATAATGTACATTGTGTATACCGTGTAATTACACGTTGTAATTACACGGCCGGCCGGGAGCTTTACAGTCAAGCGATCGAGCGTCTCGAGAGACGCTCGATCGCTTGTATCAGCAGCTGTCCCTGCTGTTGCCGGTCCCGAGATCCGCTGTGCCCGATGCGGCCGGGAGCAACACGGCTCTGTGACAGGAGATCAAAGGGAGTTCAGTATACGAACTCCCTTTGATCTCCTTTCAGTCCCCGAATGCAGGAAGTGATGTAGATTACATCACTTCCTGCATTCAGTGTCACTCTCCAGCTAGAGAAGCTGATGAAGTCGATCTCTGCTTCATCAGTTTCTCTGGAGGTCCTTAGGTGACATTAGGGGTCTTGGAGACCCCTGATGTCTCCCTAAAGAGGACCTGTCATGTAAATTGGCTATCCCATAGGATGCTTCTTAGCCGCCCATGTAATAGCAATAAAGTTGTATGTAAAAAAAAAATGTAATAAAAAAATGAAAGATTCTTTAAAAAAATAAAAGCATAACATTTATTTTTTTAAACATTTCCGCGCCCCCCTAATACACACGCATATATGCGTCAGGTGCGCCTACGTGCCGCACATGTTGCATATCGCCGCAAACTGAGTGAGAGCAATAATTTTAGAGCAGTTAAGGCCGGGTTCACACCTGGGCGTTTTACAGCGCTGATCGACGCGCTGTAAAACGCCCTGCAAGTGAAATCCCATTATTTCCTATGGGCATGGTTCTCACTTGGGCGTATTTCAGCGTGTCGGAACGTGCGTATTTCCGCGTGTATCCATTAGGATACAGCCGGATAGCCCTCGTAAACGCACGTTTGACACGCGTTTTGTGGGCTGCAAATCCTGGTTAAACCATGCACCGCAAGTCGCGCGTCATACACGCATATTTCGAACGCCTAGGTGGGAACACAGCCTAAAGGAGAACTATGAGGACATTTTTCAAGCCCTGTATGTATATTAGGGGTGTGGAAATTAACGATTAATCAGTCGATCAATCGTTAATTTCTTTGATGTAGGAGTGTCAACCTGACGAAGGGTGAATGAGAAGCGATCAGACATTGTAATTAAAGCTAGCTATAAAAGGGAAAGTATTGTGGTGCTGTGGGAAGCACATTATATTAAAGAAGTGAATTGAAAATTGAAAAGATCATTATAAGAAAAATGGATATTGCTGGTGATTATCTGCGCTCATAACTACTCGGGGGGGCTTTTCCATCTCCCTGCGAGCAAGTCCTGAACCAATACTCTGTAATGGGTAAGGCTGGGCACACACCTTACAACCATTGCAAGACTTTTGTCTTGCGATGGTTGTAAGGTACTTAAAAAAACGTACGATCTGCCTATCTTGCATAGGCAGATCGTACTTGCGATGATCGCAAGCCACGCCCCCTGAGGGGCGGGCTTCCCATGACCGCAATGCCGAACGGGCAGTGTGCGCTTGCGCACACCGGCAAGTACGGCTGTTATCGTACGGACATGCCACAAACCCGCCGAACGTCGTACAATGCTTGGCGGGTTTTCGAACATGTCCGTAAGTTCAAAGTCGTGCGACCTTACAGTAGTAGAGGTCGCACGGCTACCACACACCTTACGATAATCGTACGATCGCGGGATTTCCCGCGATTATCGTACGATTATCGTAAGGGGGGGGGGGACCTTCAGAG